TTCCTGTGTCCTCTCTCCCAGGCATGAGGCTGCCAGCCAGCACACACCCAGAGATTATACTCTGACCGAGGAGGTGTCAGGTTGTACATTGTTTCCAGAGCCGACACCCCACCCCCATTCCCAGTCCTGGCTTTTCTCTTCCTAATGAGAGAGGACAGTGCCACCCAGGGACTTTCCCAGAACCCCTTCTCTGCCATCTTCTACCCCCTCCTCCAGGAAGTCTGTCTTGATCTGGCTGTTCTCAGACTCTATGGCAGTTCTGTCCAATAGCACTTGTACAATGACAGCGATGTTTTTTGTCTGCGCTGTACGACACAGCGTAGCCACAGATGACTACTGAACATTTGATATGCGGCCAGTGCGACGGAGGAACTGAATTTTAAATTTCATGTTAATTTTAATTAATTTAAATATAAATAGGCGTATGTGGCTATGGTTCCCATATTGAACAGTAACCCACACACTCCTTGGCAAAGACCATATTCATGCGTTTTGGTCAGTGTATATTTATCCACTTTGTTTCTCCTATAATTTACCTGCTTCTTGATAATGACAGCCAATATAATCTTTGAAACATTTTCCCTCAAATCCTTCAGATCTTAGCTTTCACATCAACTCCTCTGAGAAGCCATCCCTACCATCCTTGACCACCATGCCTAGCCCTGAATCTTCTCAAGCACTGATAACACCACAGTATAATTGCCCAATTACTTCTCTGCCTCACTTTCTAGACTGTGAGCATCTTGGGAGCAGAGAGTAGCAGAGAACCTGAAACAGTTGACACTCAATAAATATTCTTGCAATTCAATGTTGAATAAATGTTTTCATATGATACAACCAGCACCTGGTTCACAGTAATGATACTAATGGAAGCTATCATTTATTGAACAATCCTACGATAGGTGCTCTATTATCTCCCTTTTGCAGATGAGGGATCTGGGGCTCAGAGAGGTTAAGTAAATTGCTCAGGGTCACACAGCCAGCATCTCTGTTTGAGTTCCCCCAGAAAACAGAGCCTGAGGCAAAACTTCTCAGCTAATGCTTTACTAGGGATGTAATCTGGACCCAACAGAAATGAAGGAAAGGGGACTGTGAGGCAGGGAAGGAGGAAAAACAAATACAAATCATGCCTTACGGAGCTGGCCACAGAGTCTCAAAAACACACATCCGGGAGTTCTGTCACTCAGGGTGTGTCTGCAGAAGCCACGGGAAGCACTGCAGGGAGGAAGGGCAAGCACTTCATCTGCAGCGTGTCCCATCTCCTGTCCCCTATTAGTCAGAGTTGAACCCAACTGCTCCTCACTCCTGGGTTGTGTCACCTGAGCCTTAGGGCAGCCAAAAGGGAAGGCAGTTTCTTCACCTGAGTCTGGGAGAAGAGGCCAAGAGGTCCTCCCCTCCCCTGCCAAGAATTCCGGTCAGGGCGGCTTGGGCGACAGCTGGGGATGCTGGGAGACTGGGCCATAACTCAGACCATGCCACTTCAGGCTGAGCTGGCCACGTGACTGCAACTGACCCAGGCCACCCACGGTGGGAGGCAAGCAGAGACCGCATGGCGTCCAGTGCCGCGGGGTGTCCAAAGGGTACAGCTGAGCACACCTGACAAGGTGCATCAGTCAAGCCTGCTACAGCGAGTAAACATCACAACAGCTCGGACTCAGTCCAAAGCCCTTGAACAAATATTAACTGGGAGGGAAAAAATGTATAAATAAATGACTGAACGAGTGGGAAAAATCCCTGGCAGTCACTTATTCCAAGTGTCCTCATTTTATAGGTGAAGAAACTGAGGCTGAGAGAGGCAGAGACGCCCTCACCAAGGTCACCCTAGTGTAGTGGCAGAGCTGGGACTTGAACCTCCATCTCATGGTTCCCTGAACCCTCCAACGGCTACGTGCTCATTTGTCAGGCCAGCATTTCTAGCATTACAGTGACACATCTGGTTTTCGCCTGCCCAGCATCCATCCTCCAACCTCTGCCACCAGCACCTCGGTTTTCCTCCTAGAAATCACCCCACCCCCACCTTTACTCCTTATAGTTCCAGGGGGGTGAATGAACCTCCTGACACCCTACCCTGTCCCCAATCTCCAGCCCTCAACACCAACCCTAGGGTAGATAGGATCTAAGTCTGGCCATCAGAACATCTCATTTCCCTGGCCACAGTGATTGGCTCCCGAGTGGGCACGTGACCTAACTTTGTCCAATGAGAGTTCATCACAATATTTGCTGCAACTATGTGCAGAGGAGCTTTTTTTTAATTTTCCCTCTGGGGTTGCTGAGCCTCAGAAGGTCAGCCTGGAGCCACCAGAAGCCAACACTGTAAGGGAGCATGTGCCCAAGAGTGAAGCCACCCCAGCAGAAAACAGCTGAGAGATGGAGAGAGAGCAAGGTTCTGAGCTGGTTGCTCCCCATGCCTAAAGCTGCACCGTAGCATTTTCAGTAGGCAGCCCAATACATTTCTACCGGAGCTAACTGGAGTTGTACTTGCATTGCGTACAGCAGAAAACAAGCCCAGCACCCGCTCTGCCAGTCTGACGCCGGATGCTGGGATACAGGCTTTTCAGATGCAGTGCCCATAACTTTCACAGCCTGCAGGGGAGATCCTCAGGACCCGGAGAAAGACGTAAATCTGTTGGCAGCACTAGAATGACCAAGGCAGGAAGGTAGAGGGCACAGTGGCAAGAAGGTCCACGCCTGAGGTTTAGCTGTGGCTCGGT